TATATATATATATATATATATATATATTCTGCAGGTATACTTACTTCTCCCTCTTAAGTAACTCCCTCTCTTCCTGCAGGCTCAGAGGACTTCCCAATGTCATCAGCCCTTCAAGCGCCTCTACTCCTGATGGAGGACTAGATGGTTTACGGAACGGGGTGGAGGTGAAGCAGGTCTTTGGTTTGGAGTGTGGCCGCTCTGCACTCACAGGCGTTGGGTTTATTCTTCTAGATGGTTTGGATGCCCTGAGGAACAATGGAAATTAGTTAATGTAAAAATTGATGATCAAACCAAAGCTGAACTATATTTGACAAAGAGTTGTGCAGACTTACACAGGTGAAATTGGTGATGACCCAACAGGAGGAAAGTCCTCCAAGTTGTTGAGGTTGAGCTTCCCCACAGATGGAGGTGAAACATGCTCAGTTATCCTACTATACCCTCCTCCTCCTCCTCCTCTACCTGATCTCCTACCCCCACTCTCCCACCGTCCACTTTCATCACTGTGATGTCCTCCGCGTCCTCCTCCATATCTCCCTTGTCCTCCCACTGTAAAGCCGCTGCCGCCACCACCACTCCTCCTGCGGCCCTTCTGTGACTGGAGGTTGGGGCTGTGCTGGAGGTCTGGAGGAGAAACCATGTAGTCCCCCAGACTGATCCTCTGGCCAGGTCGGCGCTCAGAGCCTTGGGGCCTGGAGGCAGGACTCCATGCTGGAGTATAGGAGGAGCTGCTGGAGGAGCTGACCCCACTCAAACACTGGGACCCTGACTGACTAGCAGCACTGCACTCAGTTCCAGGTGACTCAGGTGTGACAAAAGAAAACAGCTGAACCCGGCTTGCACTCCTAGAACCAGCTTCTACACCTGCAACAGATCTGGAGCCTCTCCTGTCAGTGAAGACTTGTGCCCGTGCATCTGCCCTGGGACGGTTGGGGGTCTTGGCCGGGGTGGCAGGGCCATGGGTTAGTGCTTGGCTACTCTGCTCTCTCAGGAAGTTTAAAAGAAAAGGGACAAACTCTTGTTTGTGGACTGTCACACTAGAGTCACTAAATGACAGTTTAGTACCCTCCTGTTGAAAAGAGGCAGACAAACATTGGAAAACTGACTTTGATAAATGTGGCATTTATAAAATCGCGTGGTTCATAAGATCAACACTGTTTAGTCCATGATGACCCAAGGTGGACAGCAATTAGGTCAACAAATGTTTTTTGAACAGCTTCAGAGCAATTCTGCATAAAGTAGCCTGTTAACCTAACGTTAGCTACCTCTGGGCTGGCTAACATCTGCTAAACTGAAAAGACCTCTTCCGAGAGTAACAATTAATTAGAAAGCAGTTGTGATAAGCTATGATCTGTCATTACGTTAAATGTACGCCTGACTGCTCGGAAAGTTAACAAGTTAGGTGTCTCGTCTGTAGTCCATCAATCCAGGCTACACTGGCTCGCTAGCTCGCAGCTAAAAGTTTTGTTTACAGTCAGCTATGAGCTATGTCATCTCATCTCATACGCTATACAAGGACAAGCGAGTAGCAAATGTTGCTCTCTAAAAACATTTGTTTGTTTTAAACCTACCTCAACATTCTTCAGCCAGTCCAAGACCGTGTTAATATCGACTTTCTTCAACAGAACAGATTCCAAAATAGCCGCCATTCCGTCCAGTGGCTGCGCGGCTGAAGGACTGAGGGGAGGGAGGCGGGTCCAGCGTCGACGCAATCACGTATTGCGTGTGACGTGTGTGCATTTACAGCCTACAATTCTACAATTTTATGTAACAATAAGCTAAATGTCATCGGTCACATCCGAGATAGTGACGAGTCTGCGTAAAGTCGAGAGGCTGAACAACTGGCCTTGGAACGGACGCAACAACCTGGCGCTGAACAACAGTGGAGATGACAGTGAAGGAGCCAGCACCCTCAGCATCCTCCCACCCTCAGCACCGTCATACATAAATGGTTCTTTGAGAATTTAAAAATACAATATTACATGTGGGGTGTAAAACAAGTGCCAGCATTAAATACAAGTTTATTGGCATTTCTTTAAAAATCAAAGCATTTCAGTAAACCAACATATTTAAGAGTGAAAACGATTATTTCAATAATAATAATAACATACTTTATTTATAACACCTTTCAAAAACAAATTTACAAAATTCTTTACAATAAAAACAATAGTAAATACAATATAACCCAGGTAAGATTTTAAAAAAAGATTTAAAAAATCAAAAAAGATAAGGTTTTAAAATAAATAAATACCACCACCATCATCATCAGAAAAATAACAAGATTTTGTCTGCAAGCAAAATTAGTATTTTATTTATAGCCAGTTTATAAAAATAAAATACAAAATAATTTTAAAACAAAAAAGAAAAAACTGTACAAGGCATTGATATAATACATATGACAGAACAAACATAAATAATTACATTTATATAAAATGTGGAACTCCTTTTTACAATCTTTCCTAGAGACGATTACATTTCAAAACCATGACATACATTACAACATAAAAAATATCAACCATTAAAAACCCCAACAATTGAAGTCAAATAATGGATGATCAAATTAGCAAATGTCACAATAAATAATTTCTGTCAAGTATTTCTAAGTTATTAACAAGTACTCCAATATTATGGCATGAGAAGTGTACCAGTGCAGACCAAAGCTTTAATTAGTTTCCATTTTTCAAAATAACACAGACCAACTGGGTTTGTTCTTATTGGCCTATGGGTATCTGTAATTACAGATACTGCAAATTTCTGAGTAAAAATTACACTTTTCAAACAGCAGGCCACTTTTAAAAGTGACAAAGAATATGTCATCTGGAAGTTAACATTAGCACTACAACTACACACCACTTATGTGCAATCATATTGTGTTTATTAATCATATGTATATATGTATATAATATGTATATATTAAAAGTCTGCACTCAAAAAATGATTATGGGCACTCACTGGATGACTATGAATGAGTTATATTTGGTTAATTTAAATATAATTCATACAAAACCTGTTCTATTTATATTTGTTGTAATTAATGTAAATTTCTCAGATTGGACATGTAATGAGAATACTGTTACTTGGAGCAATGTCAGAAATGTAGGTTTGTGCCCAGAGCCAACCTACTGTGCATGTCAGTTAAGGGGCGATGTCACACTCTGGACCTCTACTTCTGGAATTTTCTAGAACTTTCTATAGCCCAAAGTTTCCTAGTGGGTGCTAATAATTTAGTAGTTTGCTAAATAAATAGTGTTAACATGCAGTTATATTAAAATAACCAGTATTTCTTCTTGATGTAATACTTTGGTGGGCAAAGCCAAGCTTTATGTTAAGATGAACAATTAATGTTATTTCTTTTAAACTGGAAATCGAGTGCCAAGTTTTAAGTTTATTTTCTAACCATAACTCACTTTAGTTAAGTCAATTTTAACATTACTGTTACAATAAAGTTTGGGGCATTCGGAAAACGTCAGCAGTGTAGGTAGTTAGATATGTTACAAGTTCTACAGCAGTGCTGTGGACTGTGGTTGATCCATTGTTCAGGTGCCGACAGTGTATTGGGTCTCACAGAGTGCACTCAGTTGTCAGTTTATTCAACACATCTAGCTAAACCTAAGCCAGTTCTGCAATTAATCTTACCATCATGAAGGCCACACATCACTATATTATTATACCATTGTTTTTTTTATTACCTTGCTTTTATTTTGTTTTATTGTTGTCTTACTCAGTGAACTGTGGTAATATTGTTGAGTATTGCATTGTACCTGTGTATGCTACTGTGTAAACTTGCGTGCCGCCGTCTTGCCAGATCTCCCTTGAGAAAGAGCTTTTAAACCTCAATAGAACTTGCCCTGGTAAAATAAAGGTTAAATAAAAATACATTTAAAAATGCACTCTCTCTCATATAAAGGAAAATTGTACAGTAAGTCTTGTTCTGTGAGGATATTTATAACATGTTTTTTGCATTTATTATACTTAAAAATCTCCTACAGTCCTGAATGGCAAGTGGCTTTTTCCTTACAACTTAAATTTGGAGAAACATTTTTTGGGTACTATAAACTTATGTTTGTAAGCAGATGTGTAGAATTGGTCAGTTATTGTACAACTGTTTGGGACATTTGCAGTAATAATGCACATAGTTTGTGACTGCCTAATAAGTTAAATATACCAAAATTACATTGCTCAAGTATATTTTTCTTTTGTCTGCATTACACTAATACAGTACTGTGGTGATCTTATAGTTTATTAATGCATTTCTTTCACCTTGCTGCATGCTTTGAGAATCAGCTTATAACTGGCTGTACTATGTTGAGTCAAAGTCCTTGTGTGTTCAGCATACTTGGCCAATAAAGCTGATTTTGAAAGCACGCAGCATTGTGAAAGAAATCAATAAACAGACTATAACATCAGCATAATATTGTATTAGTGCAGCTTAATGCAGACAAAGGAAAAATGCATTTGAGCAATGTAATGAAGATATATTTAACTATAGAAAAAATACATGACATTAATGTAACAAATGTTAGGTCAGTGTAATATAGTTACATTTCATTTGGCAAAATTCTATTAGGTTAATGTAATATAGCTATGTTTAGGGAAAATTACATTGGTTCAATGCAATTGTGATTCTTCCAATATGAATGATTTAATTACACCCAGCAAACATTAGGTCATACGGTTATACTGATGTAATTTTTATTTTTACGTGAAAATTTGCCACACAAATAAATTTCATTCAACCAACGAGTCATTTTTTTTGAGTGCATCGTTCTGAACTTTTAAATCTGTTGAGTCAAAAGTGGGAGAACTCAAAGATTGATTGCTGGCGCCATATAGAAATAGCATGCCCCTGTTTGAGAGCATATAATTATAACCCAAACACACTGTACATACTTCACCCTGAAATGTTTTCATTTCCACCAGTCAGTCTATAACTGGTCCACACATTCTCACAGAAAAACAGGGAGCTCTCCAGTAGAAGCACAGCTTTTTAGCACAAGAGTATGATAGCACTGATCCTAGTGGTGATATAGTGACACTGTCAGGTGTGGTAGCACATGCCACTGAAAGAACAGGAGATAAGTGACAGGAAGGCTTGACTCATTCATCTCTTACTATGCACAGATGTGCAGAGAAGGGATTTTAAGGCGGCTGACTGACTGAACGCTGTCTGCCTTCAGGGTGAGTCATCATAGCTGCTCTGTGAGGTTAGCACAGGTACCTGCAAGATCTGCATGAGTCAAATGAATCAGCACATTGTAAAACTACAAAGCAATGTGCCCTTTCAATTCAAATTTATTAAAATATTTGACTGTGATTTTGTTTCTTTGCTCAAATGTGGATCTTCTGTAGCCTACGACTCCCAATCTTTCAACTCGTGTGTTGGTTTCTACAATGTAAGTGCTTAATGCTCATCCAAGTCTATTCCCTTGTTTATTTCTCTGGTAATTATTGTGTGCATCATGTCAGCTAGTTGCACTGACAAAAATACAGTGCATCATTATCCAGCAACACAATCATCAAAGTCAGTGCAGGAAGCGCAGGAAAGTGTCATACATCAGGTGGGAGGGGGGAAATGAATACTGAGATAGGTCAAAGAAGAGATTGCAGAACTTAAATTTGAAGTTCCTGCTGGGTGAAAACCTTCACAAGGTAAATGCTGTGTGGTGGGAAGTGGTGCAGCATTTTACTCAGTAGTTGAATGACTTTTTTTTTTTCTTTTCTGTTGAGCATGCAAAAAGCAGCACTGGAAGGAAGGTGGGGGTATTTTACAGTATCTTACAAGCAGAGGAGTGGGATGAGGTTGTGGAGGAATCCTAACCAAGTTTAAAAAGATTTCTGTGGTTCCTTTGCCTCGTGCACAAACATACATTATATAAAAGACGTTCTCCAGTGCAATGAGGAACAAAAAACAAAACGAACATTTGCACATGGAGGCATGAAGCATCATTTTGGTGTGGAAAAATATATGTACATTCGGCCTTCATTTTCAGTAATATGTCACAAAACGTTTGAGGTCTGAAATTCACATTTGTTCCATGTTTTATCTCAAACACTGACCCAAGACATACAGGACAGCTAAAACAGATTTCACTTGAAATATTCCCTTTAGTCATTACAAATAATAGCTACCCTGTCTCTGTTTGTTTGATTTACAAACGTGTTCACGTAAAAGAATCATGGTGACAGGGTCGTCTTATAACAATGGCACACGTCTGTGTTTGGCTCCTTGTTTTTTCTAGTTACAAACACAACAGAGTGAATCCTCAAGCTACCCAAAGTAACAAGGCACACACTGAGAGAAATATCTGTGTCTGAACATTACTCATCAGTAATGTACCATGGGTTGCTTTAGCAGAATACTGCAAGTACAACTACTACATATTCCATTAACTTCAGATCTAATACAGCTCTAACCTAATTCTTTCATTCAGGGTGACATATAGATTCCCACTCAGCAACACAGTAGGCACAAAAAGGTGTGTCCTCACACACTTCACATGATTTATCATATAAAGGCTCACTTTGAAGTAATCTCTTCGATTAAACATTTAAAACTAAAACCACACATCCACGACCACACAAAGGAGGGTAGGAATTGTAAGCATTGCTAAGCATCAAAATAAATATCTCAATAAATACAACTGTACACAAATTCTGGCTTTAAGTGGCCACATAGAGCATAAAGTAAATATTATACCCTGCCTACAATCTCCAAATGCAGAGGAGATACATAAATGAACCAACCCCAGGTCAGGATTTAATTAAACTGTGATCAGCTTTATATTCAGTAAGTATAATCCAAGTGCATTAATGCTGGGGACAAATTAATTTCTCTATATTGTGGTGCTGGGTGGTATAAAGCTAAGGAACAAGCAGGAGACTGAAATATTTATGTGCCCACTGGCTCAACTATTATTGATTATGCACTATAGCACTTCCTGCAGTAAGAAAGCACTGTCAATATTGAAACTACACTATTTTGTTTTACACTCCAACAATTTCGCACATTGTACTGAGGAGTCATTAGGGTTGTCTCAGTTTAGGCTTGACACTTTTTTTTAAACAGGAAGCCTTCAATACAAATTGGAGGCGTGAAGTATTGAAAGAAGTGTAAAGCTGCTACACAGGGCTCTGATGAAAGAACTGTATCATGGGGAATGTAAAAAGCAGTGGTTTTGAAGCTTATTGGGCTAAAAGTCAGGATATCTTGGCCTCTGCTGCTCTGCTTTTGACCATTCTTCTTCAAGTCTGTCTCTCACATGTCCCACAATTATTACATTTATAACAAACTCTGTGTGCAAACAGAAGGAAAACAGTGGGAAGAGGTGAGACAAATGTAAAGTTCAGACTGACAGCAAAAACAGGAAACACCATTTCTTTTATAAGTGTAAAATAAGACAGGACTGTATCCTGACTGGTGTCTACCCTATTATAATTGGAGTCATCCCATCTTCTGCTGAGGTGGCACAACCCGGTGAGCAACTATCTGCTCAGCTTGCTGAAGCATTTTCCCTCTCGGCTGCAGCCTTTTCCCCTGGATAGGTGGAAGGGGCCTGTGCGTGCCTGACGGCTGCAGCAAGTCTCCTGGTAGTGGGGATAGAAGCGGCGGGGGGGCGGGGGGGCAGTAAAGATGGGGGGGGTCGAGCTGCTGCGGCCAAGGAAGCCCCCTCCCACACCTCCGCGGTGCTCATGGCGGGAGGGCGAGGAGCTGACAGAGCGCTGCAGGGAGGAGGAGCTGCGGGGGGAAGCGCTAAAACTGCGGTGGTGGTGAGGAGAGCTTGTCAGGCTGCAGATGCCCCCGTACTGGGCAGAGGTGCGGTGGTGAGGGGAGGAGCCACGGGAACCATGCATCAGCTGAGCGAGGCATGTCAGGAGGTCTGAGTCGCTGGTGCTACCAGTTCTGATGCGGTAACGCCTAAGCCTAAATGGATGCAAAAGGCAGGGCAGGGAATAAATAACACCCAAGACAAATATCAAAAAAAAAAAAAAAGAATGTTGAATATCTTAAATGCCTTGAGAAGAGTAATGGTTGGATTAACTATCGAATCTTTGATAGTACAACTTACCTGCCTTCCACTGTTGGACGGCAAGGTGGCTTCCCAGGAGGTGGGCGCGGTAGGTATTGGGCAGCCAGCTGCTCAGCTGAAGAGGCTGAGTGAACAGGACGAGGGATCCTGCTCTTTCGGGACAGAGGGCTGGAGGAGGACGAAAGGGATGGAGCATCGTCTCCCTGGCGGTCAGAACGGGAGCCCATAAGAGAGTCCTCATCCTGGGAGCGGTCAGAGGTGGAGGACAGCGGGTCCCTAGCGAGGGAAGCCACCATGGGGCCACGCCTATCAGAGAGGGATGGTGACGCAGTGGGAGAGGGGACCGAGCCCTGGTGGCTGGCTTTCTTCTGCAGGAGCTTTTCCTTGGCAGAGCCTGGTGGTGGGAGCTCCAGCAGACTGGAGGGCTCCAGCACGGGGATACGACTTTGCCTGCGGCTGGGGTCCTTACATGGGGCAGCCAGGGTGAAAGAGACTGGGCTGCTAGTCTGATCTGGTACTGGGTTCACTTCTTTGCTCTCCTCTGCTCTTAGCCGAGGCTCTGTGGCACAGGGAATGGGGCCAGAATCATTCTCAGGGTCTTTCAGCTTGGGCAAACCTCCATTACTTAAATCCCTTTGGCTGTTAACTTGAGGGGAGAAGTGGCCATTGGCAAAAACAGGGCTGCGAGGGGAACGAGGAGAGCGAGGAGAGTATGGGGAGGTAGGTGAGCGGGGTAGAGGCGAGCGTGTGGAACGTGGAGAGTGCGGGGAAGACACACGGCTTGGCACAGGGTTTTGAGTTTTGTTGTGGCTTTCTCCATTGATCAGTGTCTCGGCCAGAGGTTCTGTGGGTGTCATTAGATGTGTGGGCACGTGGTCTTGGGGCGAGCTGATGTCCACTGTGTGCTCCTGGACCTGCTGAGTCTCAGCATCAGTTTCACCATGCCTCTCCAGTAGGAGGCACTGTGGAGCACTGTCAGATCCTGATTGGGAGGACAGCCCAGAGGGACGCTGAGCTGTCAGCTAGAGGGGAGGGGGAGGTGGAGACATGGGAGGGAAGAGAAAGACACACTCTTGTTATTGAAAAAATAAACCACACTGAAAATGGGAATATTACTCTAATTGTCAAAGGCCTGTTGCTGATAGACTACAACATGCTGAGCTGTGCTGTAAGTCTGCAGCAAGTGCCTGATGCAAATGTGTGAAAAGAGAAAAAATTTGTAATATGGGGTAATAAATGGTGATTAGTTTGGCAACAGCATGCAATACCATAGCTACCATTATCAGACCGAAACACACAAGTGCTATGGCAGTGTAAGTCAAGCTGTGAGTACTAAACCAGCAAGTAGGACAGGAAACGTTCACGCAACTTCGCAGGGGGCTTCAGCGAAGAGAGGGTGAGGAACAAATACAGGGAGAGAGAGAGGAAGAGAAAGATCAAGAGGACAAAGACGATCTGAAACAAAAGAGATCATGCAACCTGTAATCATGACTCGACATTCCAGACACACATGCCACAATCACACAAATAGACACACCCCTATTCAGATCACAAGAACACATGTCCAGACACAAGGACACATATGACCCATGCTCTGCCTGGCCTGCACATTGCCCTTAATGGTGTCTGGAGAGCGCTGCCTAACAGCACAATAAGCAAGCCAACTGAACACAGAAGCCAAAACAAGCAACTTAAAGAAAAGAAAAGAAAAAACAAAAATGCCAAGAGCCGGTGTTTTGCTACTGATGTAGAGGAAGGGGTGGAGGTCTGTTTCTATGGGATTATGATGGGCTCATCACCTGCTGAAGCTGGGCACGGGTGATGCGTATAACAGAGGGAAACTTGGTGTTGGCAGCACCTGCCGGGATGGCCGGCAGTTTCCTGCGACTGGGCGAGTGGGTACCGAGGGCAGGGTGTGGTGGCAGTGGAAGGGATGCATGGCAGGAAGAGGAAGAGGAGGGGTGTTCCTGCTGCTGGTGGTCGGCAGACTGGCTGCGTCTCATGCCCAGTGGCTGGCGCTGATGCAGTGGGTCCGACAAGGTGGTCAGGAGGGTGTGAGGGCTGGGAGAGCGCAGAGGGATGGGGCTGGATGTCCGCACTGCAACTTCCTCAGGCAGGGATGGAGGAGAGGTGGGGAGCTAAAAGAGGGGAAGGAGAGAAGTGGGATGTGGAGAGAGGAGGGGTTGTGAGATTGGTGAGGGAGTGAGAAGATGGAGGAAAGACGGCGGGAGCACTGTGAGGCAGGACCAGCTGGTTTACACCAGTGGGGAGCACGACATAGAGCTGCTTTTAACCGGCAAGGCAACGGGAGGATTATAAAGGTAATTCTGCATACGAGCTTCAGCTAAGGAAGGAAAAAGAATCAAAGAAGGTCATTCTTGGGAAGGCAGTGTACATTTTCAACTTGGAGGCAGTAGTTCTGGTTGTAGGAGAGAGTGAGGGGACAGTTATGCCTCTTGTAGTGAAAAACTGCTCTACAATTTGAGTAAAAGCAGTTTATGTTAAACTTGTAGACTGAGCAGGATTTTGGAAGGTGTGAATCGCAAAGGAGCAAAAAAGTAACTTAAACTAAGCAAACCAAAACATAAAATGGAAATAAATACATAATCTCTAAAGTAAATAAAACCAACCAAACACAATGCAAATGTCTACAAATTATAAATGTATACATAATATCCAACGCAAATCAGAGTGAATTTTTAAAAGCTCTCTTTTTCCCCATGCTGTGATGTGATTAAAACTATGCAGCTGTATCACAAACATCTTCTACCAACAGATATAGACAAGTGAACAAGCGAGCAAACATAAAGCAGCAACATTTAGCTTTAAATTATAGGAAGATGCAGCTGGTGGAACTCTGTTGTATGATATTAGCACTGAAGTTCTACAGCTAGAACTCTGACTCTGTACAGCTTTTTAACTTTGTAAAATGCTGACTACAGTCAGTATCATGTATGACACATTGTGAGATGGCCTTCAAATCAAAGAGCTTACCTGAGTGAGGACTCCCTCAGCCAGAGCTTCAGCTGGGCTGGTTGGAGTGACAGGAGGCAGAGTCCCTGCAGGGCCCACACTAAGCTCCAGCTTGTCAACTTTTGCGCTTCCCTTTGAGGAAGCCATACTTTCTTGTTTAGCTTTGCCAGAGCTCGGGCTTGGGCTGTCCTTTTCCCATCCAGGAGAATGTTCACCTGGCTGGAGCACCTCTGGCTCCTCATCCCCCTCTGAAGGACTGGTAGTAACCTTGGCCCCCCCTGGTGAGCCACTGAGCCGCTCCACCATTACCCACTCCCTTGAGTCAATGTCCTGTCTCCCAGAGCTCAAATTGAGGGCCACAAAGCCCCCGCTGCTGGCTGCCCCCTCTCCCTGCTCCAGCGATACAGGGGATGCAGGCTTAGGTGAACCACCACCAGACCGGATCTCCTCATCGTAGTGCCAAACCCTATTGGGACGCTCCCCAGCAGGTACAGCTTGACCCTGAGTTACTGAGATGATTGCAGCTCCATTAGCCTCCTTCTCCTGGTTCTGGGTGCCAGGCTGCTGCTTTGCTGAGCTTAACAAACACAAGACAGATGCAAATAATGAAGTTTGTACTCTATCATTATGAAAACTGAGGAAAACATTATGTCAATATATGAGTTGATTACTTGATAGACCTACCAGACCTCCAGGAAGCGCTCTGGACTGGGCTTGGACTCTAGGCCAAGCCTCCTCTCCAGTTCAAAGCTGTGGATGTTGCGGAGTTTCCTCAGCAGGGGTCCGTCACGGTCTGAGGCCATCAGCTCAGAGTGCAGTTTGACTGGGGAACCCAGACTCGGCCCAGCATAGGGGCTGTGATGTCCTTGGTTGCCCTGGTTGTTGCTGTGTTCCTCCTCCGTTGCCGCCTGTAAGAACCAGTCAGATTATTTAACAGTAAGAAACAGGGTGACTTTCTTTGGATTGTACTGATTCTCCTGAGAACACTTGAGGTAATGAACATCCCATATTATATATTCAAAAACTATAATTAGTGTAGTGTTAGTGTGTAAGGTTGCCTGTCTCTAAGTGTCAGCCCTGTGATAGACTGGCGATCTGTCCAGGGTGTACCCCGCCTCTCGCCCAGTGTCAGTTAGGATAGGCTCCAGCCCCCTGCAACCCTATTCAGGAGTAAGTGGTATAGATAATGGATGGATGGATAATTAGTGTGTTCATACAGTTTGCCGTCTACCTTCCAAACTGCTGTCCTGATGCAGTTACGGTTGCGGTCCACCTCCTCCCAGACGTCAGCCTCCTGGTTGCGGTGCAAGTGGAGGGGAGAGCCCGGAAGGCGCTCGGGAGCGGGGTTGTTCTCCGCATCACTAAGCTGCTCATCCTGCAAAACCTCGTCTGTGTTTTCCCTCAACAGATCACCAGGGATGAGGGAGGCATTCGCCATACTGGAACAACAAAAGGAATATGCAAATTAATTTAATGTTTGAGGCTATAAAAGAGAAGACTGGTAACCGTTCTGAGGCAAGAGTACATCAGTAAATCGTTTAATTCAGAAAAAATATAATCTGGAAAACTTTGGTCAGTTTATCTGTGTTTTGACAAAACAGTTCCTAAATCCAACAAACCCCATGTGTGCTGGGGTGAGGCGGGTGTGATGCTGGGGTGTTGTGGCGCTGGCACTGATCGTCAAAGTGCCATCTGTGCCAGTCCGCTCCCAGTCATAAGGGTCATTCTCCACTACATTGTAGGTTTTCATGCTGTTGTCAAACACCGACATTAGCAGCTGTAACAACACAACAATACATAAATCTTTTGTCAGTTTTTCTCCAGGGAGCTGAATAATTACATGCTATGTAGCACTGCTATGTAGTAAAAGAAACTTTCACTCTTCATTAAACCCAAATTACCTGGTAGTCAGGCTTGGTGAAGTAGTCGAGACTGGAGATGTGTTCCAAAAATACACCAAACTCTGCTGGGAGATGTTTGAGCATCAGACGATGGTCGTACGTCTCCTTCAGCTTCCCCACATGTTCCTGTGGTGGAACAAACATACAAGCATCTGTTATTGCTCATCGCTTACAGCTACCTGGACACAACTGTTTAGTTTCCAGGATGGTCAACAATTATTGGCCGTCCTTACTTTGTCCTTGATCTTCCTCCATGGCAACTGACCAACCAGAAACTCCACCAGCATGTAGAAGAGAGACCACAGGTCATCGTGACGACCCATCTCCTGTAGAATTACACCAAGCTGTGGTTAACAATCACTTATGACGAATCATGACAAAAAAAAAACAGACAGTTATGCACATAAATACGCACTTGAGTGGCAGCATTACGGAAGTACACAAGAGCTCTAGCACAACGGAGACAGATACTGACCTTATTCTTGTGCGCATTGACAGATGCATAACGGACTGTTCCCCTGAACCCTGCCACTGGACGGGGCTGAAAAACGAAGGCAGATACATTAATTAAATGCCAGTAGGGTACCACCCTAAAATAAGCACATTTACACTTAATTAAAAACCAGAGCTGTAGAGTTTCTGCAGAATTGATAGTTTCAACCAAGAATAAAACACAAAAACACAAAGGATCTAATATATGTTTCCCTTTTTGTAAATCTTACTTGCAACCCTAGGCCTTGATTTGCATAATTAGTAGATTACCTACATACATTAACTGATTTCTGTCCATGTATCAGAAACAAAATCTAAACACAATTCTTTAAAGTTGCTCAGGCAATCAATTACTTATTTACACCACAAGTGCACATAAAGCATGATTATGGTTCATGTGGAGTTTGCTTTTTGACAAATTTATGTCCAATATTCACTCTTTTTAAGTCTATTTTGGAAAGTCTTGCTTGAAAAAAATTCTAGCTCTTTCACTGCTAAATTCTTCATTATATTCACAAGCTAGTTGTTGACTTTGTCTTCTATCTGCTGTTGGTTGGTGGCAGGTTGCACAGAATATGTTTTGGGAGCTTTTAGATCTTATTTTGCTGAAAACAGCAGCTTCCCGCAAATGAATATTACACTGTGAGAGCAGTGGAAGTGAACCAAAGTAGTAAAGTTGTGGGCCATAAAACAAACACTATAAGCTATAAACTCTGTAGAGCTGATGAGAACTGCAGTCAGATGGCATTTCTTTGTGGTTTCATCACTTATCATATTACACTTGTTCATATAAAACAATATGACTCAGTAAGAGAGGACGGCACTTACAGGTCGGACCTCCTGGCAAGAGTTGGTGAACTGGCGAGCTAAACCAAAGTCCAGCATATAGCAGGTACGACAGGTACTGGGGAAGCGACCCATGGCGAAATTGGACTGAAGCAAAGACAAAGGGGGGTTAATGAGGCAAAGGTTAAAAAAGATTTTGATTAGGTGTGAAAGGTTATAACAGCAAAACTTAATGTCTATTTATATCCATGCAGCCCCAGTGGAATAAATGTGTTCCTATGGCGGAATATAATTTAATACAGCATCTCAGAAGACAGACGAAATTTACTTTTTGTTACATTTTGGGCATTTATCCAACAGTTTTACTGAGCCAACTTAGCCAAGCACTGAATCAGCAACAATACCAACAGACAATAATGAAAAGTCTAAGGGTTGCAAACACTACCCAGACAGAAGAAATAAAAATACTCCCATGCGCCAGGAATATATAGAAGGAACACAAGTACTAGGAAATGAAATAAGAGCCTGAGCAAAAAATATCCCGTGCTGCAGCCTTCATCCTGTGACTCACTGGTTTGATGTCACGATGCAGGAAGCCAACAGAGTGGATGCTCTCTATGGCTTCCAGGATCTGACGACCCAGACGCAGGGTAGTGCTGATGCTGAAGGTTCCCCGGGTCATACTCCTTCTGAGGTCAGCCAGATTACGACCCTGAGAGACAATGTACAAGACTAATCAACTGTCTGATATATTCCCCCCTTTAAGACCTAAGCAGGGTCCCCAACTAACTCAGCGAACAAGATATCAAAGACTAAAAATACTAATTTATTGAGTGTAGTTCTCTTTTTGCTGCAACACAGTATATACAGAAGCATATTTAAAAGAAAAGCTTAGAACCAACCTGAAGCTCCATCACCACATAGTTGAAGCGGTCATTGCGGCCACATCCCACAAAGCGACACACGTGGTCCTTACCTGGGAAATAAAGGAGCTTTTCAGGCTGTTTTGGGAACTCACTTGGTATCAACTGCATCATTTCACTGTAAAACGAAATGCTGGATGTATCATGATGATGTGTGAGCCACATTTCACCACCCTCACATCACCAGCTTCCCTGTATGACCCTGTTGATTTAGTGCGTAACACCGGGTTCACACGTGCATGAATCCCTTCTGTGTTTGTGCATGTTAAGTGAGTGTGTGCATGCTCTGGTCTCAAAGGACACTGCCGCACTGGCAGGCTGACTGGGGCCACACCCCGTAGCGCCTTAGCGCAAGCAGTTACACCAACAAAACCTCCGCACTGTGTTGAAGATCGCTTACTATGATCAAATTTTAATAAATCGAAAGGATCCAAATATAAAACTAAATAACACCCATTAGTCTTATCCGTCTGAGGGTCGATATTTACTCTTTACAGCTGGGAAAGTCAGCAACATTTGGGGGCTGGAGTTCAACCCATCTCAAGTTGCACACTGGTTCCCTCAGGAAGCAACAGAGCCATGATGCCCCAGGCTGCAGCCATTAGCCAGAAAACATGATCCCACCCCATTGATTTTCCCCTCAGAGGGGAGCAAGAAAATGGGCACAGTGGTTAAAGCGTATGAAGGAAGCCAGGTAGGAAAAGACAGTTAAAATAAGACACAATGGAATAAAACTATAGCGCATCCCCCGAAGGAGCCCTCTAGTGTTGGCCGTTTCCCCCGCTGTGAGGGATTCAAAGTGTCCAAGCACACAAACATTCACTTCCTCTCATGTGAGCACTTAGTCACTCCCTTTACTGTCATTTGAAACTTAGAACCACCACTACAACACAAGATGTACAATAAGGGATGATTTATCTGCTGTTCCT